ATCATAGTTCTCTCTCCACCTGCTGTTCATGGGGAGCTTTAAGCCTGACAGCCCTAGGGCAGGGCAGGATATCAGCCCAGGACCTTGAGCTAAGTCAGCAGGGCCTTGCTCTCCCCAGGGTCAAGTCCACCCTGTGCTGTGCATCTCAGCTCAAGGTGCATGCCCTGCTCCCGGGCCACTGCGTATGTGAGGAACAAGTGGAGCCACTCCCTGCCACCCAGGCCTTTTAGCCAAGAGCAACTGGCATCTCTGCTCTTTTCTGTCCTGAGTACCAATCCATCCGAATCCAGCACACAGTATTCAATTCCTTCACCCATGGGCCTTGTGGGGTCCTTTTTATACCCCACCCCTTGCTGCTAAGACTCATTCAGTAACTATATTTAGGGCCCTATGTCCAAAGCAGTGAGATTATAACCAACAGTATCGAGCTCCTGTCCCCACGGATCCCGAATTCTAGAGAGGGAGGATAATGCCAGTGAGGTTTGTGTAGGCACCAAGGAGGGAGGGAATTCTGTCTGAGGAAGTTTGGGGCTAAATGAGAATTCTGCACTGAGAAGTAGATGGAGCAGACATTCAGATATACAAAAGGCAAGGAGCAAAGACTTGGCAGCATTAAAATGCATGGCTGACTTCCGCCCCCCCCCCCCCCCCCACCAAGGGACTACCTTGCAGGAAACTGGTAGGTCTCAGCAGGGTCTCAGACCTTGCTTGTCTTAGACCTTGCTTGTCTTTGTCCATAGGGGGTTGTTTCTTAACCATTGCTTTAGGATCTTGGCCACCTCCCGGATTTATTCCCCTGTTTCCCTGCCCCATGTATTCATTTCTGGTTCATCATCAGAATTCACATGTTTAAAGTACGGTAGAATATACAGTGTGCATATGGAGCAGAATGATTAAAGATGTAGATTTTCAGTTAGGCGGCTTTCTCCCCAGGCAGCTTTGTAGCACTGGGGAAGTTTTCTAATCCTCCCTTCCTCAGTGTCCACATTCAGAAAAATAAAGATACTACTAAATCCCATATCACAGGATTGTACAAGGAGTAAGAGCAATATTGTGAGTATGGTGATTAGCACACTGCCTGATGCTTAATAAATCTTAGCTATTGGAATTGCCTCATTAATTCGTTCAGCATATTGATGCCTACTCTGTGCTATTAGGTAGTGAATAAGACAGGGAAGGTCCCTGCTTTCCGCCAGCTGGAAAGTCTGCTCCAGTCCTTTTTATAGGATCATTGTTTACATTTATGCGTTGTGTCAGTCAGACCTCACTGGATGGCTTTCCCCAGGCACTATTCTTTGTGTTTTTTAAATGGCAGGCATTATGGGGTATCTACCATCTCTGGCTCCCAGCCTCAGAGGGAGCAGTACCCCCCCCAACTGAGAACGCTGGCGGGATGTGGGCTCAGGTTTCAGCCCCGAGGGTCCAGGATGGTGACAGACAGGGAAGTGGGGAGGCAGGCTTTGAATGCCAAGCCCAGAAGAGGAGTTGGCTGCGGTGCCTTCTTCCTCCGCCCGGGAGAGCCTTCACTTTCTTAAATGTTCTTTAAAGCTGGTGTTTGGTGAGGGTTTTACTTTCTGAGCCCAGGTAGAAGATAACGTAAGGAAAAAGGAGGATATTTTGTACAAATAAATGTGAACCCTGTTTGGCTTATTTACCTTAAGAGCCAACAAACCTCATCTAATTCCCTGCTCGCCACATTGGCTCCTTGGTAGGAATGTCCTACGTCTCAAGAGTTCAAGAGAATGGGGGCCTATTGTGAATCCTGGAAACATTATCGAAATTTAACTCTTCTTTTCCTTTAAACTACAGGTATGGTCTCAATCCACTTTTTTTTCCCCATTTTGTAAAGTATGCAGTGGCATTTCATCCCCCCTGACACTGCATTTTGCAGAATTGAATGTATTGAGCAGATGTGCATGATGGCCTCGTATTAGTACTCTGCATGGTACCTTCTGCTTGGGAGTCTTAAAACAAACAAATCGAAAGGACTTGATTCCCTTAGAGCATGTTCCAGAAGATTTTCAGCCTTAAATTTTCATTGAACAATGATAACGTACACACACCCACTTTCGCATATCCGAATGTGCTGTGTTTGATTTGTAAATAGTCATTTGGTCCAAATATATTTGGTACACTTCCAATGCGTGCCAATTCATGATATTCCAAGAACATAATCTGTTTGCAGTCTTATGCCAGGACCAAGTTTATTCACTTGCCGATGGGATGCATCCTGTGCACAGTGCAGGCCAGGCGCTGTGTGGAATTCAGAAGTGAACCACACACACTCTAACCCTCAGGAAGTCTAGTGTCCGGTAGGGATGAGAAAACCCTACCAGTAAATAAGTGGTTAGTCATTGGAAAGGTAAATGGAATTCTGATATTTCTAGGAATGAAATAGTACTTTATTTGAAGAAGGCTTCCTGGAGGAAGTGGAATTTTTAACTTTATGACCTTTAAGATTAATTAAAGCTTTAACAGGTAAGACATTTTAAACTTTGAGGAATGGCTTTCTGAGCTGAAACAAATATGAGCAGAAAAATATTGTGTATATGTGCCTTTCCATCACTTAATAATATGTATTTTCCATTTATTTTCTGGATGTAATTAAGTGACTTTTAATAATTACTATAAAGAAATCTCATTTGACGTTGCTGTTTTTCTGAAAATGTTCTCTAACTTAAGTGCTGAATTGAAGTTTTGCTTTTTCCACCGAATAATTCCCTTTTACAACTCCAGATCCTGGGAGACTGCCGCCATGTTAAAACTCTCGGATGTACCTCTAACTGCATTCGCAGTCAAGTGCAGTCAGATAGAAGGCAGATCTATCAGGATTGTTATATAAAGAGTTCAGTTGCTAACATAGGACAGTGTTCTTGTTACCAGACATTTCCCATGTATTGGCCTTAAGGACAGCATGGAAACCAAGCCAGAGCACCCAGGACTTCTGTGTTTCCCATTAGATCACCTTTTTTGAGACTTGAGTCTAATTGCTTCTGCCCCTTGGTACTGGTCCAGACTTACTATCCATTTCCCAGCCCCTCTGGCTTCTACCCACACCACCTGCCTGTAGGCTGGAGATTCGACTAAGAGCAAGTTAACATGAAATCTTGGCTAAAGGACATATTTGTCTCTTGAAGAGATATCTGCACCCCCATGTTCATTGCAGCATTATTCACAATAGCCAAGACCTGGCAACAATCCAAATGTCCATTAATGGATGGATGGATAAAGACTGTACAACATTCACACACACACACACACACACACACACACACACACGCACACACACGAATATTATTCAGCCATAAAAAGAAGGATCCTGCCTTTTGTGACACCATGGATGGATGTTGAGGACATTATGCTAAGTGAAATAAATCAGAAAAAAAGACAAATACTATACATTCGCACTTAGATACAGAATCTAAAAAAAAGCCAAACTAATAGAAAGAGAGAATAGAATGGTGGTTGTCAGGCCGGGGGTTGGGGTGGGCGGTGGGGAGATGTTGGTCAAATGGCACACACGCCCAGCTATAACATGAAAAGTTCTGGGGATCTAATGTACAGCATGGTGACTATAATTAACAGTACTGTATTACGTACTGAAAGTTGTTAAGAAAAGTAGACCTTAAATGTTATCTGCACCAACAGAAAAAGTGGTAATTCTGTGAGGGAATGGAGGTGATTTAAACCATCACGTTTTATGCCTTGAACTTACTTATATGTTATATGCCAGTAATATCTCAGTAACGGGGAATATTTGTCAAAATTTAATTACCTGTGTTCGAAATGTTTTCTCTCTGATCTGGATGGTAGTTACAAAGGATATAGGTGTATAAATTTATTCAGTTATACTAAGATTTGTACATTCCAATAAAAATGTAAAAATAATAATAACCAAAAACTCCATTATCGTAGGCACTGAAGTACTGCCAATTTTGGTCTATCTTGGGGTAATTTTGCAATGATTTATGCGTTGTCGAGCATGTAAAAATAACTCTTCAGGATTTTTAGTGTTTTTCTTTTGCATTCCTTTTTAAAAAATGTTTTTGTTGATTTCAGAAAGAGGAAGGGGGAAGGGAGAGAGAGATAGAAACAACAATGATGAGAATCGCCCATTGGTTACCTCCTGCATGCCCCTACTGGGGATCGAACTTGAAACCCGGGCATGTGCTCTGACTGGGAATCAAACCGTGACCTCCTGGCTCATGGGTTGATGCTCAACCACTGAGCCACACCGGCTGGGCTGCATTCCTTTTTAAAATTCTTTTTCAATCAATTACTTGAAATAACCTAAATAGGGAACGATGGAAGATTAATTGTAACAATTGTTTGTACATCTTCAAAATTGCAAACAAAAGAAAGGGGAAAGGAACAAAATTTCTGGGGGGGAAAAAAGATCAAAATGCTTGTTGTAAAAGCATTTTTTTGATGCTTCAGGATTTTCACTAAAATAACTAGAATTTGAAGATATTAACCTGCAACTAAAACATTATTTGACCACATTGTCATGTTTGCCAACTTGCATCTGGTCTGAAACTTTTCAGCCAATTTTTAAGCCCGTCTTCCTACATTCCCACCTCAGCCCACCCCGACTTCCATCCTCATGTCTGTAGCTTTTGGTTAAAATTCAGACTGAGGTCTACTGGTGAGTAAACAGTAACTGTGTGATAATGTCAAAGGGAACAAAAATAGAACTTAACAGCGAAGTTTACCCCTAGCTGTAGTTGCCAAGGTTCAAGCACCAAAAGAGAGAGAAACATTCCCTTGTAAGAGAGCCTTGTTGGGAAATAAAAAATTAAATAAACTTGATGCCATTAAATTATAGCATTAAGACTGTAAAATCCAGGAATGGTATACAAATTAAATTTGAATTTCTTCTCCCCAACCAACCCAGCCAGGCTCACCATCTTGGATGGATTTTCAGATAGAACGAAGTGCTTCTTAATGTCATTATTGTTTTGAAAGACAGCGATTTAGCATGACCTCTCTTGTTGGAACAGGACAGCTGGGAGGTGGTGGAAGGACTGAGGGGAGAGGTGAATTACACCCAGGAGCCACCAGTTCAGAAAGGATTTTTGCTGAAAAAGCGGAAGTGGCCCCTGAAAGGCTGGCACAAGGTAAGACGCTGGCCTGGGCCTCACCTGTATTTTAATTTGAAGCTGAAAATGGCGACCAAGGGAAGACCGGGCATTTAAATGGAATGTGTTCGTGATTTATACTTCCTTCCCCACAGAGATTCTTCTATCTGGACAAAGGAATCTTGAAGTATGCCAAGAGCCAAACTGATGTAAGTCTCCTTGTTCATCAATGTGCTGTTGACGAATTCGGAAGGGCTAGTTGTTGTCAACTCATGGATGAGATTGTGTCCATGGTGGGGGACAGGATTCCATTTCTCTGAGCTGGAGCCACAAGGGTAATATGGAACAGGGTGGCTGCTCCCCAGCCCTGGGTTCTAGGTAGGCTCAGTTCCCCCGATGAGTGGAGGTGGGGGCTCCTCTCAACACCCTACTGTGTACCCAGGGGTCTGTGCTGGCCTTAGGTCAGCTGAGGGGTACTCTGGGTGGGAGAAGACATTTTTGCAGCGAGATAACAGGAGCAAGACATAGGGCAAGTGTAACGGGCACTGGGAGGTTTGGTGGAGAACCCTTAGTGAAGGTGATATGATGGTCCCCTTGTTTCTGCCCCTCGTAGGGGCCCCTCTCTCACCCAGCACTTCTCCCATCCCCCTTCCTCTCTTCGCCTTTACGGTGCTCATCTTGTACAGTTGCGTACAGAACATTTGGTGTAATGTTGGACCCACAGTAGCCTGTCTTAGCTTCCTGTCCCTACCCCTCTTTTTAAATCACTTCCCTGTGAATTTAACAGGAGCAAGAATTGTGGGAGGAAGTGCAGTTAAAAGTGCATTCGCTGCTGTGGAGTCAGTCCACGGGGCTCACCTTCTTGCTTCCTCACTTACTGGCTGGGTGAACCATTTGTTACATAGCCCGCACAGATTAAACAAGATGACGCCTGTGCAGCACTTGGAACTCAGTACTGGGTCACACTGGGTGCTTGATAAGTCGGAGTTCTTAGGGCGACCGTTAGTGGCTGTGGCCGGTGAAGGGGTGTCCAGGATGTTACCACCACTGCAGCGTCCGGTTCTCAGGGGCCCCCCTCCTGCCTCCGCAGATCGACAGGGAGAAGCTGCACGGCTGCATCGATGTGGGGCTCTCGGTGATGTCTGTGAAGAAGTCATCCAAGTGCATAGACCTGGACACTGAGGAGCACATCTACCACCTGAAGGTGAGCCCCTCCCGGCTGCTGGCTCCAGGGCAGAGCTGCTTTATGTTGCAGTGCAGCACTATTGACGGTGCCTTTTGAAGACTTCCGAATGTCCAGCCAGCATGTAGACCTTCCCTATGCAAGTATTTCTGATGGGCCCACACTGCTGGAGGCTTAGCATCCTTGTCTCCGCATCCCCCAATACCCCTTCATAGTTATGGCAGTGATCGATGATAAAAACATCTTCATGTTTCCAAATACAGTACCATGTTTAGTGAAGAGCCATTTACCATAGGTTAAAATATGTTTTTGAAATATAATATTTAATATTTAGCCTGACTTACAACTTCGGCTAATTTTATATGGGTTCCATTACATTTCTCATATTGCATTGGATGCCAGGAATTTCCCCTGAAGTGTGGGCCTCCAAACAGTACTTCTCAAAGCTGCTTAACTGCCTGCCGTCCCCGTCTCCTGCAGATGGGAGAGATGGTTGAGGGCATGAGGCAAGAGCTCGGAGGTTCAGATGTGGTTCAGTGCTTGACCTGGCTACTTACTCGCTCTTGGCCTTTGGCAAAGTATTTAATGTCTGAAGGCCTCAGTTTTCTCACACCCCAAAATGGGAATTATTATAGTGCTCGTCTTGTAGGGCCTCATGTAGAAAACTTGGCCTAATGCCTGGCCCATAGTAATCTCAGTAAGTTTAGTTATTATATATAATTATTAGACAGGACCCAAATATTATATGTTATATAACGTTATACACTTTTTTCTTACTTGGGCACATTATCTGGACTTGGAGTGGGGGCTGAGGGTTGGGAGAGTGAAAGCATGAGATTATGAGCTCCCTGTCCTCCCATAGCATGTATGTGTGTGGTGCTTGGGCAAATAGGCATGTAACATGTACATGTGATCCATTAACCACACAAGACAGTCAAGTCCATTCTGCTTCCTAGCCCAGGGCCCTCTCCCTGTGGGTACGGTGAATTGTGTAAAGCAGGGTTTCTTACCCTCAGCGCTAGTGACATGGTGGGCTGGAGGGTTCTTTGCCGTGGTGGCCTGTCCTGTGCATTGCAGGATGCCGACTGGCATCCCTGGCCTCTAGATGTTGGTAACAACCCCCTCCAGTTATGACAACCAAAAAAATTCTCCAGACATCGCCAGTGTCCCTGGGGGGAGGGGCAATCCACCCCTAGCTGAGAACAACTGGTGTGAAGTAAAGGAAGCAGAGACCTATAATCTTTAAAAGAAGCTTTAAGAAAGAGTATTTTCCCCACCCCCACTTAAATGGTCAATCTTCTTTACAATAATTTAGGCCATTTCTCCTTGTACTTCAATGACTCTTAGTACTGTGTTTTTACATGGCCAGGAAATTATAGGTTCTTGTTCATCCACTATTCTAGTTTACCAAATAAAAGTGATTTCTAATTCCTAATTTTTAAAGAACTAGAATGCCTGAAGACACATGACATGCTAATATCATGACAACACAGTTTCATACTTCTCTGAGTTGATTCCGCTGAAGTTCTGTTTGTGCTTCTTGCTCATTCTCTTGAACATGAGCTGTCACTGTCAGTGTAGGTACGTGTAGTTATCAGAAGGTCCTACTTAGTAGCTTAGGCAGGCAGTTTTAAATGTGGGTCATCCAGTGCTGCTCTCTTATTTTATGGATGAGGGATCTGGTAGCAGAGTGACTTGGCTGTCCACCCACAGTCCTAGAACTATTTAAGGGGCTGAAACAGAACCCTGGTCCATTGTTTAACAAAGTGCTTTTTATTTTCCTGTCCTGTTTAACCAATACAAAATGAGTCCAGATGAACACTTTGGGCACTGATTTTCAAGGGCCTCTGAGAGCAGATCAGTGCACAGGATGACATAGATTCACACCTGGGAAATGAAATCTATTTCAAGGACATAATTTAGGGGAGATGGAGAGATGAGCCTGTTTGTATTGCTTCTTCCTGTACATGACACATTCAAGAGCACTTAGAGAGGTTTTAAGTCTTGTACTTACTTCTAATAACACAACAAACATAAGAGCCAACTTACCATTTCCCACGTGAATGATGCAGCTGACATTTATTTCCACATCCTTGCTCTCAGCAGTGGCATTTGTAAAGATTTTAACAGCATTGACCTAAATTTTTCTTAGAAGTGAACCTACTACACATCCTTTGGGGGTATTATAAATTGTTACTTTATGAGTCTGTGTTCTAATATACAAGAATCTATCATTTTTTCATTTGGAAATATTTAATATACTCACACACCCACAAAAATATTGACTATTAAGAAATGTCTATGCTGTATAGGTGTTTGTAGTATTTTTTGTAGTACTTTTATGAACATTTGAAATGTTTTATAATAAAAATTACTATTTACGAACAGTATTTTTCATGGAAATTAGATATCAATAGATATTTATGGAGAGAATAGCTAATTTTTTTTAAAGTATATTGATTTTTGCCCAGCTGGTGAACATTGATCTATGAACCAGGAGGTCATGGTTTGATTCCCTATAAGGGTACAAGCCCGGGTTGCGGGCTCAATTCCCAGTGCAGGAGGGTGGGGGTGGGGGTAAGGGTGAGGGGTGGGGGGGGGCGGTGTGGGTGCAGGAGGCAGCAGATCAATATTTCTCTCTCATCGATGTTTCTATCTCTCTATTCTTCTCCCTTTCTCTCTCTAAAATCAATAAAAATATTTTTAAAAAGAATATTGATTTTTAGAGAGAAAGGAAGGGAGAGGGAGAGAGAGAAACATCTATGTGAGAGTGCAATATTGATTGGCTGCCTCCTGCACATTCCCTGCTGGGGATTAAGCCCACAACCCAGTAGGGTGTGTGCAGGAGGCAGCCAATCAATGTTGTGTCCTGATGGGAAATTGAACCAGTAACCTCCTGATGCCCAACCAACTGAGCCACACCGGCCAGGGCAAGAATAGCTAAATGTTTGTGTATGTGAGTTTGAAAAACCCTGGAAATCTCCAATAATACTTTATCAGATTCTTTCTATTTCTGAGAGCAGGAGAAATGTACTTTTAAATAACCTTCACATTCATTAACATATTCCTCAGCAATGGATCCTCTGACAGAGGTTTACAAGGTTAAATATTTTAGGAAGAATTTGCTAAGTCATTCCAGTTCAGAGAAGATTGATCTGAAAATGAAAAGTCCAAATTATGAAAGAGTTTAAAAAGGGTGCTAATATTTTAAGCAGGGATAGGATAAGCTGACATACAGGACTTGGAAATGTTTTGAGACAGAGAAATATAACGTTTCAGTTTTATTTGTTGTTCACTATAACTGATACTGTTTTGCTTTCCTACTATTAGTGTAGCAGTTGGACCCTTTCATAGAAAACCTAAATGTATAGTTTACAAAACCATTTTTACTCTCTTACCTCCTCAACTTGTCCCATAGATCACATAATGTAAACGAAGTCAATAAGCTGGCATTTCTGCATTTCTACGTGCGCCAGTAACGCTCTTGAGTGACACTCTTGTTTCCTTCTTCCAACCTGACACAATGTAGGTCAAGTCAGATGACGTCTTTGACGAGTGGGTGTCCAAACTCCGCCACCATCGGATGTATCGTCAGAATGAGATCGCCATGTTTCCCCACGAAGTGAACCACTTCTTCCCGGGGCCCTCCGTCACAGACTCCGCGCCTGGGGTCTCGGACTCCCTCTCAAGTAGGAAGGTAATAATTTGTCAATAATGAACCTAACAAAGGGGTGGCTCTGGGTGGGGGAGTCCCCCTGGGGGAGGGGGCTGGGTCTGAGGAAGGAATGGTTGGAGGGGAGGAGCAGGGAAGCCTGAGCTGGTATTTAATGAGCCGTTGGTCCCGTGAGTCACCAGGGCCAGGGAGCGTGTTCCCTCTGGGACGACTGGAGAGTAGCGTGTGAAGAGGCACTTTATACCCCGCATGCTCCACCTTCCTCTTGACCAACTTGACTTTGGTTTTCTTATCTGGTTGTAAATGCAGTAGGTGCATTGATAGCCACGTGGGATTGCAAAGTCCCCCAACATTTATCATGATTTTGATATGATTATCGTTGGATAGAAGGACTGCAGTCCAAGGCCTCCTGGCCTGGCCAGGTGACAGCCAGAGCCAGGCTCTTCACTGGAGGGCTTTGCTAGAAGCTTCTTTCCCCACCAGGCAGGTGGCTTCCCTTAGGGACTAGCCCACGTGGCTATCCTTTGACCTTAGAGTGTTCCCACGGGCTCTGTCTTCATTTATACTGTGTTCTTGTCATCTGTGGAACAGCGTAGCAGTATATCAAAGCAGAACTCGTTTCAAACCGGAGGCAGTTTATCCTTTTCCTGTGGAGAGATTCGCGTCCCATTGTGGTTGCAGTCTTCGGAGGACATGGAGCAGTGCTCGAAAGGTAGGGCGACTGGACACCTCGGCCTCTCTCCCTCCTCACTTGTGGATCAACCGGGTTCAGCATTGACACCTCAGGCGCACTTGCATCCCGCCCATCACTGTCCACACTCCCGCTCCTGTTTAGCTGATTGAGCACTCTTTTTTTTTTTTTTTTAAAGGGGATTCTGAGACATATAGTTCCAAGCTTCTCTAACGTTATCTAGGGATTTTATTTTTTTATTTTTTATTTTTTTAAATATATTTTATTGATTTTTTACAGAGAGGAAGGGAGAGAGATAGAGAGTTAGAAACATCGATGAGAGAGAAACATCGATCAGCTGCCTCCTGCACACCCCCTACTGGGGATGTGCCCTCAACCAAGGTACATGCCCTTGACCGGAATCGAACCTGGGACCTTTCAGTCCGCAGGCCGACGCTCTATCCACTGAGCCAAACCGGTTTTGGCTGATTGAGCACTCGTGATGAACAAAGAACACTCTCCTCATTGCCGGGGGCGGGGCGGGGGTGGGGTGGGGTGGGGGACGGTGCATACAGACAGCTTTTCTTTTCTATCCTTCAAGTACTGATGCTGATTTCCACGTGGGCTTATTCAACCACAGCCTCCAGGGTGGGGTCTGCACGCTGTCTATTTGTTTAAATGCCAAAAAGGATTGAGAATCACTGTTCTAGAGGCCAGCGGAGACCCACACAAAACAGGTGTTCTCTGCCCTGGCTGCACATTGGAATCACATTAGAGTCTTTCAAAATGCAAGAAACCCGTGCCCGGGCCCCTCCCCCGAAGAATCTCTTCCAGTTGGTTTGGAGGAGGGCCCTGGCATCACTGATTTTTTAAAGTTCCCTAAGTGATTCTAATAAGGAGCCAGGATTGACGACTCTTGCCATAGGCTGCTCAGTGTTCTCAACCATAATTAGCTAAGAATCGCCCAGGGAACTAAATAACAGAATAGTCACCCGTGGGATTGTAGGTGTTCTGCTTTAATGGTTTGGGGGTGGGACTTGGACATTTAAACAATTTCCCCAGTTGATTGTAAGGTGTAGCCATGACTGAGAACCACTGTTAGAGAAAGGCACCGGGTGGTAGCCTTGAAAACTGCATTTGCTTCTGGTGAGTGATACTACCATGTAGGACCATGTAGGCTTTGCCCTCTCAGTAAATATCACTCTCGAGCTTCACTGAGTAACAGTAGTCCGTGAAGTATTGTTCCAGGGGATGGACCAACAGCACTGGCCTGGCCTTTGAACTTAGAAACGCCGAGTCTCAGGCCCAACCCCGATAGTCTGAGTCAGAAACCGAGGTGGACCCCAGCGATCTGTGGTTGTACAGGTTCTCCGGGTGATTCTGCTGGCCCCAGAGTTTGAGAGCCACTGTCTTTTTTTTTTTTTAATATATTTTTTTATTGATTCTTTACAGAGAGGAAGGGAGAGGGATAGAGCGTTAGAAACATCGATGAGAGAGAAACATCGATCAGCTGCCTCCTGCACACCCCCTACTGGGGATGTGCCCGCAACCAAGGTACATGCCCTTGACTGGAATCGAACCTGGGACCCTTCAGTCCGCAGGCCGATGCTCTATCCACTGAGCCAAACCAGTTAGGGCAAGAGCCACTGTCTTAATGCATTTGGGCTTTGATTCCTCAGCAGACACAGCTGGTATCACCCAGTAAACAGCAAATTGAGGACAATTTTTGAGTTAGTGACCCAGGAACTGATCCGAGAATATCTTAGGTCCTCTTAGGTCAGTCTGCAGAAGTGCACCATTTAACTTGTACTGGGTCCTTATAAGCGGGCAGTGGTGCCCTGTTATTGCAATATTAGAAGTGATGATGATGATGGCTTAGTTTGTGCTTACAATGTGCCAGCACTCTAAAAGCACACTGCATATATTAGCTCATTTAACTCACAACTGTGAGCTAGGTGTATAATTATCCCCACTTTCCAGATGAAAAAACTGAGGCATGCAGCAGTTACATAATTTGCCAAAGAGAGGCAGCCTGGTTCTCCAGAGGCACACCTTTAACCACGACAGTCTACTGCAGTGATGGTGAACCTATGACACGCGTGTCAGAGGTGACACGCGAACTCATTTTTTTGGTTGATTTTTCTTTGTTAAATGGCATTTAAATATATAAAATAAATATCAAAAATATAAATCTTTGTTTTACTATGGTTGCAAATATCAAAAAATTTCTATATGTGACACGGCACCAGAGTTAAGTTAGGGTTTTTCAAAATGCTGACACGCCGAGCTCAAAAGGTTCGCCATCACTGGTCTACTGCCTCTCCTATAAAAGAGGAAGTCAGATTTCCTGTCCTAACAGGTGCACATCAGATACCAATGAATGAGAAAAGTAGCCATGCTAGCACAGCGATGCCTAAATGCCAGATAAGTGCCCCTGAGCCGGCCTTTTGCTTTTCTCCCGCAGACCTGGCACACTGCCACTCCTACCTGGTGGAAATGAGCCAGCTCCTGCAGAGCATGGACGTCCTGCATCGGACGTATTCGGCGCCAGCTATCAACGCCATCCAGGTGAGCCAGGTCCCTCTCTGTTTGCATCCTGGTGCTCTCCTGCTTTCCTTTCTCCTCCCCGCCTTTCACTAACAGTGGATGTTGTCTGGTCCGGTGCTTGGCCAAGTTTAAGGGGATGGAGGTGGTTACTTTGCTGTGCGTTTTCCCCTATTGGTTGGTGGATCTTACTGTCTGTGCTCTCTTTCCCATTTTGAAACAAAGGGTGGAGCTTTTGAAAGTCCCAAAAAGGAGAAAAGATCGCACAGGAGGTGGCGGTCCCGAGCTATTGGCAAAGATGCTAAAGGAACACTACAGGTAACCACTGCTTCCCCAGGGGACTGGCTCCTCCACTGGCCCTTCTCTGCACGCCACGTGGCGGGGGCTACTTGAACTCAAGTAGGAGCATAGAATAGACAGGTGAAGATTCTAATTATTCTATCAAATACCCTGTGCAGAGAGAGGAATTAGGTCACTGAGATTTTCTGGACACTAGGACAGGCCTGTAATACTGGGTAAGGGAAATGGCATGAGGTTGGAGGGACTAGAGCCATTTCGAGGGCTTTGGCTTCTCATTCTTTAATGCTTAGCCTGCCTGCTCGCTTCCCTGCTTGGGTAGGTGCTCTGACCCGCCTCTTCTGCTGCTGCTCAGTGGGTTTCTCAACCTCTGAGCCCACGGGCTGGAGCTTCTGGGAACAGCACATTGTGCAGATGCTCTTTTGCTTCTTGTGTCCAATTTTCCCATCAGAGGTTTACTGTGTCACAGTAGCTGCTGACTTACCCAATGCATAGCTAAGCTGGAGCCCAAGATTTGCAGCTTGGCCATTGCATGTTAAATTGCAACAATATTCGGGTCCAGATAAATCAGAAAGTTACAGGTAAGTCATCTGCTGTATTCTTGTAGACTCTTTGGTTCAAAGCACTTTATGGGTTGAACCTAAATACTTTCAAAGTAAAGAGTGATTTGTGTACAAATATGTGAGAAGTTAGTTCATTTTCTAGAAGCACCAGGGGCAAGCAAAGAAAACATTTTTAAACCTATCCACTATTAACAAGCTAGACACTGGATGATTATTGCTGGGAGGAAGGAACTGAATATAATGAGGAAGAGCCCGGCAGCTTTAGCCATCATTTTCAACCTATGGCTTTAATGCTTCTATCATTTCCAGAGAATATATCGGTCTCCCCTTAACTGCAGTTTTGCTTTCTGTGGTTTTGGTTTTCCACAGTGAACCGCAGTCCAAAAACATGAAAAGGTAGATTCCGAAAATAAACAATTCATAAGTTTTAAATTGCCTGCCTATATGGTTCAGTATTATCCACAGTTTCAGGTGTCCATGGGGTCTTTTAACATATCCCCACAGATAAAGGCAGACTATATTATATGTGCTTTCTTACCCATTCTTTAAAAAATATATTTTTATTGATTTCAGAGAGGAAGGGAGAAGGAGAGTGAAATAGAAACATCAATGATGAGCATCATTGATTGGCTGCCTCCTGTATGCCCCCTACTGGGGATCGAGCCCACAACCTAGGCATGTGCCCTGACTGGAATCCAACCAGGATCGTTCAGTCTGCAAGCCCACGCTCAACCCCTGAGCCAAACTAGTTAGGGCTTTCACACATTTTAATTTTTGCAAGAAGCCAGTACAACTTGTGGTAGAAAGTGCTTTCCTGAATTTTCATTTATTTTTCTTTTCTTAAAATATATATTTTATTGATTTTCTTACAGAGAGGAAGGGAGAGGGATAGAGAGCTAGAAACATCGATGAGAGAGAAACATCGATCAGCTGCCTCCTGCACACTCCCCACTGGGGATGTGCCTGCAATCAATAAAATATATTTAAAAAAAAAAAAAAAAAGAAGAAGCCAGTACAACTTGTGGTAGAAAGTGCTTTCCTGAATTTTCATTTATTTTTCTTACGAGTAATCATTCAATAGTAAGACTTTCCTACATATTGACCTTTTCTTACTACTTTCCAATCTTAGAAACAAGTAAATATTCTGAGCAATTTGCATCTGTAAAGAAATATCTCCTTTTGGTGTTACTTTAGGTCCCTAAACCTTTTGGTGGCCCACAAAGACTGCATTCTTCCAATCCTAATTTGTCGACACTAGATTTTGGAGAAGAGAAAAATAATTCTGATGGCTCTGAAACCTCATCTGAGTTTTCTAAAATGCAAGAAGATCTGTGTCATATTGCCCATAAAGGTACGTGTTTAATGAAAATATTAATAAGCGCATGTCTGAATGTGGGCTGTCCTTGGAGAAGGACCTCAGTTGGTTAATTTCCTGATCTTTTGAGATTTTAGGCAGCCCTTTTTTTATTTTAAATTTCCCTAAGAAGTGTCTTTTAAACTTATTAGGGGAGATAGTGAGAGCATTAGGTCTGATTTAAAAGCTGAGTAATTTATATGCTGCTGATAGGGATGTAAATTGGTACTTTAAAAAAAATCTGCCTATTCAGCAACTGCACTTTAAAGAATTCATTTGTAGGAATTAACTTAAAATTTATTCAAATAAAGATATTCATTTTAGCATTGTTTATCACATCAAAAACTAGGAATAAATGTTCAACATCATTAGCCAGTAGGAAATGCAAATTAAAACCATGATATTACCACACACCTATAAGAATAGCTAACGTTAAAAAAAAAATACTGATAGTACCAAATGCTGGTGGCAATGCAATATGATATAGCCACTCTGGACAGAAGTTCGGCAATTTTATATAAAAATAAACACACCATGCAACCCAACATTCACATTCCTGGGCGTTTATCCCAGAGAAAATGTACACTTAACTCCACACAAATACCTTTACACACGCGTTCAAAGCAAGTTTATTTGTATTAGCCAAAAACTGAAACAACCCAAATGTTCTTCAACAGATGAATGGTTAAACAAACTATGGTATATCCATACAATGGAATACTACTCAGCCATGAAAGGGAGTAGACTTTGGTTATACAAGAGTTGAAGGAACCTCAGGGGCATTATGCTGACTGAAAATACTCAATCTCAAAAGGTTACATAGTGTATGATTCCACTTGCTAACACTTTTGAAGTGATAAAATTACAGAGATGGAGAAGAGATTAATGGTCGCCCAAGGTTACAGATAAGGAGGAGAGAAAGGGGGAAAGTATGGGTGTGATTATAAAGAAGTAGCAAGAGGGATGTTGGTGGTGATAATAGTTCTGTATCCTGATTCTGATGGTGGCTCCACAAATCTACACAAATGACAAAATTACATTGACTCATATTTACACAAATATACATAAATAAGAGCATGTAAAATGGTGAAATCTGAGTAAGAGCAGTCAATCCCAATGTCAATTTCCCGGTTTTGATATTGTACCATAATTATGTACGATATTACACTGTGGGAAATTGGATGTAGGGTACCCAGAACTTCTCTGTACTGTTTTTGCCACTTCTTATGAGTCTATAATGACTTCAAAATTGAAAAGTAAAAATAAATTAGAGGTCACCTAAATGCCCCAAACAGAGGGACTGTATTTTTTTTAATGTAACATAATCATATGATAGAATAGTCAATAGCCACATAATAATAATAATAATAATAATAATAATAGCTTATTTTGAGCTCAGAGCTGTCTGTCAGGTAGTGTTAAGCATTTTTCTCACACTGTATTTCATTTAATTCTAGCAACAACCTAGGGAGTTAGGTGTTAGTGTAACCTCCATTACACAGGTGAGAAACCGGAGGCTTGGAGAAGCCAAAAAACTTCCTGCAGGTCACATGGTAGAAAATAGCCAATTTGAGAGTTGAATCCTCACCCGCCTGACCCCAGGGTCTGTACTCCTCACCTGGTGGCTCACTGCCCTTTCATGGGGTAGCCAGGGCTATTTTCATAGAGACAGGAAGGAAGAAGTTCATAGCATATCAGTGAGTAAAAATGCAAGGTCACAAAACAATCTATAGGTATGATCCCATTTTTTTCAGAAAAAAACTATATAAACCTGGTGTGTATAGGCATACTCAAAAGTCTGAATGGATATACACTAGTATTTTCATGATGGAGGCTGAGATGAAACACTTATTATCTTCTTTGTGTTTATCTTTTTTTAATTTCATATATTAATCATTTTTAAAGAAGAAAATAGGTTAAATATTTTTAAATGGGAGGGCTGTGCTTGCAGTAGGAAATAAGACATTCCCTCTATGTTTTTTAAAAATATTTTTATTGATTTTAGAGAGAGAGGAAGGGAGAGGGAGAGAGAGATAGAAGCATCAATGATGAGAGAGACTCATTGATCAGCTGCCTCCTGCATGCCCCCTACTGGGATTGAGCCCACAACTCGGGCATGTGTCCTGCCCAGAATTAAACCGTGACCTCTTGGTTCCTGGGTTGATGCTCAACCACTGAGCCACACCAGCCAGGCAGACATTCTCTCTGCTCTCCTGGACCAGTATTTCTCTTCTTTCCTGTTATTAATTACTTTCGCTCTCTTTTTTTCCTTAGTCTACAAACCTAAAACATGTTGGTTATGGGGAAGCCATGTCATGCTCTTTGCAGATTCCTACCTCAAACTCTTGCCCTTGCTCTCGCTGGAACTTTGTCAGCGTTTTGCAGTGCTGCAGTACGGTCCATCTGTGAAATGGGCAGAATTACCTGCCCTGACCCTTTAAAGCTCTTCTCCCCCCTCCCCCATGTGTCCTCTACTATTAAAGCATCAGTTATAATTAATTAGGCATTGCATGTTAGGTTTTGCGGGAGGAATACCTATAAAACACCTTTACTTTTTAATAATATGAACTGTCTTTTTAAAAATGGGAAAAGCCTGCCTCCCAGCAGAGGTAAATGCCTGCATTTTACCTACACGAGGAGGCTGCTTCTCAGCAGGAACAGGGTCCATTGATCCTGTTCTCCCGCAGAGGATTCGGCCCCGGGGCCCTCTAATGGCCTTGGCCAGCTGCTCCTCTTTGGGGCTTTGTGAAAGCCAGCTGGCTGCGGGGCTGCCACATACCTAGGCGAGGTCAAGGTGGTCCGTGCTCAGGAAAGGTGCAGGCGCACTTACTCCACAACAGCTGGGGCCCGCGGGGTTAGCGACAGTAAATTCCACAGGGAGCCTCATGAGCTGTGTTCCCTCCCATGGCCACTCAATTAAAACTCAACACAGGGTTCCAGCCAGGGTTGCCCAGTGGTTGAGTGGTCATTTTCTAATGGTTTTGAGCTTATGGAAGCTTTGCATAAAAAGCCAAGTATGTCACAATGATGTCATTTTCATCAATTAACACTTAAAAGATATATATGGCTTAAAGCAAAACCAGACTATTTATCAAACATAATAAGAATTTGGCATAAAAATCTGCTGGGCAATTGTATTTATGTAAATAATGGGTAAATAAGTAGAACCATTTAATGAAATTACTCAGTGTGTTTACACTTAAAGAATCTTTTAGATAAAATATGGGTTAGAAAGTATTTTAAAACCATGGACATTCTGTGAGGTTTGGAAATTGGGGGGTGCAGATTACAAAAGATGAAACCACCCAGAAGAGTGGGCTGCTTTAGGAGATATTTTAGGTATATTAACATTTTAAAGAAAATTCACCAAAATGTGGTTCTCATTAAACAGGGAAAGATAAACAATGTGTCCTACTGTGGGTTGGATGCTATACAGTGGCATGCTTTCTCACTGTTTCCTTAGAGCATTCTTGAGATATGGGCCCTATCCACACATGCAGATGTGGAAACTGAGGATTTGTCCAACATCTAAACAGTAACTAAGTGGTAGAGTAGGATGTTGGCTCCTGTTTGCCTTGTTACAAACTTTCTTAACCTTGTACCAGACTGCCACCAGGGAGGTGATGTCTGTGATTTGCGTGTCTTCCTCAAGATCTTATTCTTTTCTGAGAAACTTCTAGAGAAGGGGCATATTAAGAAATAGAGCTCAGGTAAGTTAAGAGTATGGGTGTCCTTCAGTACCAGCCTTGGCTATCCAAACATGCTGTCTATACTCTCACCACTTAACTCAATAAAAGACAGCATGGACCTAGCTGGCGTGGCTCAGTGTTTGAGTGTTGACCTATGAACCAGGAGATCATGGTTCAATTCCTGGTCAAGGCACATGCCCGGGTTGTGGGCTCAATCCCCAGTGTGGGGTGTGCAGGAGGCAGCTAATCAGTGGTTCTCTCTCATCATTGATGTTTCTGTCTATCTATCCCACTCCCTTCCTCTTTGAAATCAATAAAAAATATATTGGGGGCGGGAAGACAGTATGGAAGCCGGCAGAAACGGGAAGGTAGAGATCACTAAGTCAACTGTATGATGCTTATGGCATTCCATTTTGTCAGAAGGTCAACTTGTATCCACTCTCTCAGTACAGTGAGGAGGTGTAGAAATGGCTAAAGACAGCCTGGGAATGAGATGAGTGAACAGAGATGCCGTAATTGCCTTCCAATATTTGAAAGCCCCAGGAGGGAGGCCAATGAGGAGACACCGGGGTAAATGTCAACGTAGGAGCACAAAGGACTTTCTTACCCCAGAAGAGTGGACTGCTTTATGAGACAGCAAATGCTCTGAGAAGCATGGGCCACAGGCCTTGTGACCAGGAGATGCTGGTGCTTCTATGTGGCTGTGACCTTCTTGGTCTGTGAGGGTCTTTGTAGTTGAGCATCTAAGACTTTCCATGTGGTCTTGTTCATTATCAGATATCCATAGGTGTGCTACACCAGTATCTTTCTTTTTCTTTTTCTCTAGCATCATGTTAGAAATTAGTAAGAGAACACTGCTGTCACAGGGAATATTCCTGACCTCTGAGATTCTTAACGATTAATATAAATATGGTCTCCTGTGAGCAGCCTTTAGCCACTGCTCTGTGTGCTGGGTCAGGAGACTGCTGTAAAGCACTGTATTATTGTCCTCTGCGTGGGACTCAGCAGTCATTTAAGAAATTTAGTGCATGGGGATCTGGTCTTCTGAGTCACTTTGTCAGGTGGCTTTGACCTTAACATTAAATATGGTGACTATATGAGTTTCTTTCGGCTTACTTAGTGTCCACCACAGTCTTGTCCGCTATACATTTTGAACCAAAAGGTGTGTGTTCTGCCAAGTTAAAAATTGTAATAGGAATCTTCTAGCTTGGTTGACTGCCTAGCTTTAGTGTAGGCCTCTGGAAGCCAGAGGAACTGATTAGCAAAGTGGCAGCCAGCCGAGTGCCACATTTATTTAATTTAGAGCAATAAATAGGACAGTGAAAAAAATTGTAACGAATGCTAACTAGATTTATTGTGGTGATCATTTTGCAATGTGTACAAATATCGAGCCGTTTTGTTGTACACCTGAAACTAATGCTATATTACCAATTATACCTCAATTTAAGAAATGACAGTGAAGCGGTACCCCCCAGGGACCCGCTCAGCTGGGCGCCGGGTCCTGAGGAGTTGCAAAGGCGGGCAGTGCCTGTCTAATAGACATGAGATGCCGTTCTTAACTGCGGGGCTGCTGCTTTCCTGCTGAGGCTTCTCTTTTGCTGCTCAGTAGATTCTGGTCGATGCCACATTCATAGAACCTGTACATGAATGCGGTTATTTATCGGTATTGTCCTGGCAAAAGACCGAAGAATCCTCCTGAAACTGCTGCTGTGTTTCAGGAGACTATTCACCACTTGCATTGTCCTGTTTTCTTTCCTCTCCATCGCCATTACCATTGCAGTAACATTTATGATTTATTGTATGCTCTGCATTGGGTTAAGTGCATTATCTCAGCCAACCCCCTAACGATCTTACAAAGTAAATGCTATCATCGTCCCCATCCACACATGAGGTAACGGGAGTTCAGGTCCACCATGCACTTGTCCAGAGTCATTCAGGGAGTAAGGGATGGAGCTGGGAGGAACCCAGGGCTGGTGTGGGAGCCCACTGTTGGTCACTCTGTTGTGCTGCCCGTTATTTTGCTTTAATCGAATCCTTTAAATCAAAGAGCTGACGTTATTAGAAATTGTAGTACCTGTTGACGCTTGACCTCTGTCATATGTAGAGAGAAGCACCATAGTTGTGTATGTGTGTGTGTGTGTGTGTGTGTGTGTGTGTGTGTGTGTTTAGACAGATTGCTTATTTGTACTATGACTTTATGAAGATGCTCTAAGTCTATCATTAAACACCGAAACTGCAGACAAGTTCAGTGACAATCTAGAGAAAGGGTCCATGGTCCTTGTGGCTTTGAAATGAAGGAAGTCATTCTTGATACTAAATAGGCCACTCTTGAACAGCAATACCTCTAAAAATGCAACCCTTGGAATTCAATGATATGCCAGGACACTTGAGCAGAAATATGTCTCTTCCTTCTTCCTGCTCTTCTAAGGCAAAGTATAATCAAAGAGCTTGGAAAGATATATCCATTATCAATAATTTAGATGACAGTTTTCTCATTCGTAGGAGGTAATTTGTACATTCTGTGATCAACACCTGCTGAATTTTTTTGCGTTGTGTGTTAATGGTTTTTAAAACATCAGCTCTGGCATCTGCTAAGCTCTCTTTATACCCGAATGCTCACTGAAGTGAGCAGAGTAGCCAACTGCCAAGTTAAGGGTGGGAGTTCTGGGTAAAGCAGCTGGAAAGACTAACAAGGAAGAAGGTAGGTAACACCTTATGCATTTTGAAATAATTTCAAACTCACAGACAAGTTGCAAGAACAATACAAATAACTCCCATATATACTTTACCCAAACTCACCATTTTTAATATTTTGGCGCGTTTATTTTATCTCTTTCTACACACATCCAATTACACATGTGCTTATTTTTCTGAACTGTGTGAGTCGGAATCATGTCATGTCTTTCTTATGCCTTCATACCGCAGTGTGGATTTCCTAAGGATAGGGATATCCTTAACCACAGTTCAGGCATGAAATCCAGGAAATTTAGCATTGAAACAGTACTGTTACCTATACCTTCCATATTCAAATGTTGTCAGTCATCCTGGTGATACCCTTTAATAGCACTTTTCCCCTTTAATATAGGATCTAGGCCAGTGATGGCGAACCTTTTGAGCTCGGCGTGTCAGCATTTTGAAAAACCCTAACTTAACTCTGGTGCCATGTCACATATAGAAATTTTTTGGTATTTGCAACCATAGTAAAACAAAGATTTATATTTTTGATATTTATTTTATATATTTAAATGCCATTTAACAAAGAAAAATCAACCAAAAAAATGAGTTCGCATGTCACCTCTGACATGCATGTCATAGGTTCGCCATCACTGCTCTAGGCCGTGATCATATATTGGGTGTAATTGTTGTGCCTGTTTAGTCTCCTTTAACCAGGGTCACAGTTCCTCAGCCCTTCTCTTTGATGAAATTGACATATAGGCCACATTTTAAAAATAGGATGTTCCTTATTTGGGGTTGTCTGCTGTTTCCTCATGACCAGATTCAGATTGTCTGTCCCCGGTTGGCATATAACAAAAACGACATTGTGTCTTTTCAGGGCATTTCACCCCAAATAACACCAAGCCCATCTGACTCTCACCAGTGATTAATTTTGGTCACTAATTAAGGTGCTATCTGCTTTCCCTACTGCATTGTTGCTGTTGTTATCCTGAAAACCAATAAGCTTTGTTTTCAAACATTTCCAGTCTTTGGAGGTACAAACAAAACTAAATATTAATAAGAATCCAGAAGTATAGTTCTTTCAAGTTTCAAAACTTCTTGATGATAAGTCATAAAATTATGGAATTTTATAGTGGGTAGGGGCTTTGGAATTGCAAATGTGATTTTAAAAATTTATTAGGCTTTATTTTTCAGAGCAATTTTAGGTTCACAGCAAAATTGTGCTTATAAACTACAGGGTTTACATATATTACCTTCCCCCCCACACTTCCCCCCCACACAGCCTCCCCCACTATCAGCATCCCTCCAGAGTGGTCCCTTTGTTACAGTCATTAAAACATCATTATCACCCAGAGTCCATAGCTTAGGTTCGGGTTCACTCTGAGTGTTGTACATTCCAGATGTGTTTTCAAAAAGTCAATTTAGAGTTGACCTTCCAGCACTCTATATAGTCAGGGCTATTACTTTTCTAAGTTCTCTTATAAGAAATATATCTCTCTGTATCTCATTTTTTATGATGCCTCTTCCTTCATTCCTTTTTATAATAATTATATCTTTATAGTTTACTTCACTTTAAGGTCGGCTTTTAATACCATCTCAACGGAGAGAGAGAAGCTGAAGCAGCTGCTGGAGCAGGACGTCGCGTCCCCCTCCGCGCAGGTCATTGGTCTGAAGCGTGCCCTGTCATCCGTAAGTGCCATGTCTGTGTCCACAAATGCCTGACAGTGCGGCCAGGCTCCTGAATTTTCTAGTTTCCATCTCCGTGGTTGTGTAGAAAATTCATGAGAAAACCAAACAAATTATCCAAATTATATTCTAGTCTTTCATCAGATCTGCTTATTCTAAAGACCCAACTAAGCCTACCCCAAATCTTAGTAGCCAGTATTTCACTGAGCATAAGATATACTTCATGTTTGGTTTCCTCCTCTTTATCTTGACTCTTCTGATCCTGTAAAGCTTTGGTTGTGTGTGTGTGTGTGTGTGTGTGTGTGAGAGACAGACATTGGTTTGTTCGTGCTTACAGCATCTGACAGTTGGACATTTCTGTACCTAAGACTTCACACGCTTAGACCGACTTCCCAAATCACAGGCAGCAGAACTAAATTCTAAGTTCACCCTTGTCCTCTCTGCTGCACAGCACAGATTCTACTGACCACTCTCCCAGAGATGTGAAAATGACTTGACTGTATGTGATTTGATTTGATAGTAGAAAACATTCATATGCGTCACATGCAGCGTAGGGAACAGTCTGCCTTTGCACCCCAGAAGTCAGGCCTCGGCTGTCCGTCAGAAAGCCTCGCTGATATTTGCTCTCTCTCCCCTTCTTCATCGACTCCAGTTTATTCCTCGCAGGAGCGAGGCTCCATTGAAGGGCTGTGTCCTAGAACGCTCTGCCTTGAGCGGCTGATGTTGTCTGGCTGCTCACTTTGTATCTATCAAAAAGCTAGAGAAGTTTTAAAACAACACACTCATTTGCTTCTCCTTTTGCCCATCCTTTGGAATTCCCATGGTAACAAGGGAGTGTGCACACCGTGAAATTACCATCAGAAGAAATACTGAACTTCCTATTTAGGGTCAGGTAGGGGAGACGAATTTTAGGATCTTGTTTTCAGAAGCCAACTGAGAGAACTAGAAAGTAGCCATTCATGTTTCCTATCATCATGTTACTGAGAAGAGTGATGTTCTCGGTGTAATGTTAAAGGTAAATGCATTACCAGGAGTACATACTGTTATTGTAAAATACCCAAGGAATATTCACAGGTTGAACATTTCAGGTATGTTGCCTTTGAAAGAAATAAGAAGTAATGTGGACTGACTGCATGTCCAGAGCCTTGAGGAGCTGGGATCTTCAAGGTCGTAGAGAGAAACACCCCTTGGAACTGTAGTGGCCAGCCTCACACTGGGTGCTGCTTTGGTTCCAGAGAAGCGAGGTGGTTCTCTCTCTCTCTCTCTCTCTCTCTCTCTCTCTCTCTCTCTCTCTCTCGTTTTTTAGTTTATTTAGTGGCAAAGGCATTTCTCACTGTTCCCAGTAGGTTGGCTTTCAGTGCTTTCAGAGGCCCCTCTCCCCGCCCTCGTCCTCTGGAGGGCGGGCCTCCTCGGGTAGAGCCTATTGAGATGCTTTTAGCCCTGGCGTCCCAGGCCACAGTTGTCCTTACCTTCGCTAAGAAAGTCCCTCTCAACCCGATTCAGGATTTTGGAAACTTAAGATAAAACAGAATGATGCTTTCCTTTCTGCCTTAGATTCCCGGTTAAATTGGTTTTTCAAAAAGTAAAATTATAAGGCCATCTCGGGGCTATCAGAATGTATATGCCGTGTTGTGTGTGCAATCTTGATATTTTTCTTTCTTCTGCCTGTGGCTTGCAAAGGAAAAAGAAGCTAGCAAAATAGCACCTTTTCCAGGCTACAGTCAGAGTCCAGCCACTGGTATAGATTCTAGCCACTTACATTAAGAAACCAGCGACTCACTGGCCAGAATAAAGCAAGTGTAGAGATTGTTGCTGCATGTAACAATCTCTGTTTTGTGCATTTAAGAAACGTTTACTCAGTGTTTCCTAAACGATTTTCAGGAATTTCCACGGAACCCATTCCATTCATGGGTCCTAACAATAAAGCCAAAATCTTTGCTAGAGATCCAGGCCAAGCCACATCCTCTGCGTTCTCAGCAGGTTGGCCCTGGGGGAAGGGCTGTGAGATTCTTGGAAGAGATCAGGAAGACAGACAGACAGGCAGGATGACCTGGGGCAGTCTGGGGGGACAGAACTTGGAGAGCAGTTAGTCACAAAGCTCACCAGACAGAGGCGTGAAGGACACGCGGCCTTTTACCGTCAAGCCAGTTCCTTCCCAGTTGGGAGGTTGAGAGAGGGAATCAGAGCTGCCCTGGGGAGAGATCAGAGAGGTGTGGTAGATGCCAGGTGCTCCTATCTTACACCTTCATTCCAGGGCCCTGGCTCTGAGCCCTCATCCAGGTAAGTGAGTTTTGTTTTTCTTTTCTTTAAAAATCAAATATCTTAATCACGAAGAATGACTGAAACAATCAAACAGCCAGCTATATTGGGAAACAATAAAATTAATCCTCCGAAAATCCTACTTTCCAAGATTCAATTCAACTGGGGTGATCATTAGATAACATTAAAATATGGCCAATCATAAGGGGTGAGAGCAGCATCTTTTTAAAGATGAGAGAAGCTTGGAATCATTAAGGAGGGGCGTGGCCAGAGGCTGCAGTAGCCCTCTGTATCCGCAGGCTCCACATCCACGGGTTTAGCCCAAGGCCTTTTTTTCTTCTTTTTTTAATATATTTTTATTGATTTCAGAGGGGAAGGGGCAGGGAGAGATCGAAACATCAGTTATGAGAATCACCAACCGGCTGCTTCCTGCACGCCCCCTACTGGGGCACGTGCCCTTGACGAAAATCGAACCCGGGACTTTAGTTCGCAGGCCAATGCTCTATCCACTGAGCCAAACTGGCTAGGGCAGAAAATATTCTTTAAAAAAATGTTACGTTGTTGCTGCCTTGGACCATGTAGTTAGGCCTACCATGGTTATGATGGCTGCGATGGTGGGGTCTGCACTGACCATGTACAGACTTTCTTCTTGTCATTATTCCCTAAACAATACAGTATAACAGCTATTTACCTAGTATTTACATTGTATGTGGTACCATATGTAATCTAGAGATTTTAAAGTGTATGAGAGGGTGTGCGTAAGTTCTACCCGAATACTACGCCACTTATGTAAGGGACCTGAGCATCCGTGGGTTTGGGTATCTGCCTGGGGTGCTGGAGCCCATCCTGGGGACCCCGAGGGACACTGTAGACACAGCTGGGGAGAGGGAGGGGCCGTGAAACCGCTGGTCAGAACAGCAGCTGGGTGTTTGTGATTTCCTTTTCCACAAAAAAAAAAAAAAGCCTTGCTAACCTCTCCTTCCATCTCTGGAAATGAGATTAGAGAAGGGCTGTGGGGTCCAGAGTTTAATATCTTTTATTCCCCAGGCATCTCAGAGCCCGTATCCTGTTGGATAGCATTCAAGGAAAAAGTCCAGGAAGTGCCCTGGGGCCCTGCCACGCGGGCCCACTCTGTGCTTTTCTGAAACACTATTTTTAACGTGTTCCAGGCCCTAGCACAAAACACAGACCTTAAAGGACGCTTGCGCAGAATCCATGCCGAGTCCCTGCTCCTCGAGCCCCCCGCTGCTGACAGCCTGGCAGAGGTGGGTAAGGCTCCGGGTCTGGTAAGGTCTGGTGATGTCGCTGTGACCTCACAGGGCGCCCTGGCTCCCTCCTCCCCTCCAGAGGGCTGCTCACATCCACGTCTCCCCCTGCCCTCCCCCCGCCGGGCGGGGTCCCGGATCCCAAGGCTTTCTCCAGTCTGCTGCTAACTGCTTCCCCTGGCCCCCAGCACTCTTCTTCCCTTTGCGCCTCTCTCCCCCATTCTTCTCCTAAGCACCCCCGGTTCACTAGGCAGTACGGCGGCGCGGGAACTGTAGAGACAAGTGTTCTCCCGTTACTTCTGAAGAAACCTCAACTTGCCGGTTCCCTGGGCTTCCTCTGTGAGACCCACTCCTCCTTCTCGGCGGTTCCCTTCTCCTTTTCCTGCAATACTTTCTTTTTTTCCTTTTAGAAGCACAACCTTCCCTTCTGAGGGAAAAAATACTCTTACCGTGAAGGGTCTTGGCCAGGTGATACTACATAAAAAATGTCTTTGCTCAAGACTTGGGATGTTCATCTGAAACACTCTCTGAAGGTGTTTACAGTGAGAAATTTCAGAAAAATACAAGTGAACTGCTTGAGAAGTAGAAAAGGGTAATTAGGGTTACAACTCTTTCTAGTTATCTCTTGTATTGATATGCCTTCCTCAGATGTGCTGAGTTTTTTATTAACAAATTTATTAGACTGAGGGCATTTAAAATAAAAAATAAGAAGGTAATATACAAGGGGTGTGTGTGTGTGTGTGTGTAAATTTGAAAGGAGTTTCTAATGTTTGATCTTAATCCATCTTTCTCCTTTTCCTGTCCTCAAACCCTCACACAAGCCTTCTCTCCTTGGGAAGCTGTGGTGTCGTGATGAGGGGACTGGAGGCTGAAATGAGTCAGCGCACAGGCTGCCAGCCCCAGAGGCACTGGCGGTGACGGTTGAAGGCGGGCAGAGTAACTACCTCAGGCATAAACACGATTTTATATGTAAAATAAATAAACATGATAGCAGAGGCTCAAAACCAATGGGAAAGAGATGGATTATTCAATCAGTTAGGTTGGCACAGCTCAAAAGCAATTTGGAAAGCAGTTTAAATCTCCCATTGCACACTTAAAATGAATCACTGGAGAATTTATCAAGCCCTGGCTGGTGTGGCCCTGTTGGTTGGGCATTGTCTCCGGCACAAGGGTTGCTGGTTCGATTCCTGTTCAGGGCACATGCCCGGGTTGTGGGCTTGATCTCTCATGGGGGGGGGCGGGGTGTGCAAGAAGCAGCCAATCGATGTGTTGCTCTCACATCAGTGTTTCTCTCTCTCCCTCTCCATTGCTCTCTCTCTAAAAATCAATTTTTAAAATCTTTTAAAATATATTTAGTAAGTACCTAGAGTAAGGAGGACTTCCTAAATGTGGAAGTAATAGGAAAAGTTACAAAAGAAATGTTGACTGGATTTGGCTTTTTTCTTAGGAGGAAAATGGTGTGTGTGAAAAAAGAATGCATATAATAGACTAGGAAAAAAAAATTTCAGAGAAAATGCCAGACTTGAATAATGCTAAATATATGATAATGTATTTAATACTTAAATAATTAATAAATAATAGCAAGCAACTTAAGATCTCAACAAACAAATGGGGTGGGAGGGAACCACACAGTTTACCCCAAGTACAGATGATTTTTTAAAAACCTTCCATTTGGTAATACTTATAAATTCACAGGAGAGTATAAAGAAATGCAGAGGGTGGGCCTCCTCCAGTGTTAGCATCTCTATATCCAGTTTCTTTTAAAAAAGGACAAAATGTTCAACCTAATTCTTAACAAAGAAATGCTAATTAAAACAAGTACATTAGCACAAAATATTTCCAAATTAAAGTGTTTGGTGCCCTTACACATGTAGAGAAAGCAGAGGTTCTCTTGCTTGTTGATGCAATTAGGTAACATATATTTTACCTTTAACATTTTCAATACTAGTTCTGAGAACTGATTCTAAGGAATAATGAGATATAATCAGAGACACATTTGCAAGCATGTTCACCACCTTTACAAATTTGGAAACACTCTTAATTTCCAATAAAGGTAATGGTTCCCTATGACACACAATTAAAATAAAATATCTATCAACTAAAGTTCATTGTGTCAAAGAACTTGTAACAGCCCGGGGAAAAGTTCACAATGTAATGTTACGTGACTTTAGCAGATTAGATAAGGACAATGGACAGTGGGGTCCCAATTTTTCACGCGCACATAAATTATACCTAAATATTTTAATACAAAAAGTACATCACCAGGTTAATAGGAGCCACATCTGGGGAATGAGACTTTAAGTGATGTTTATTTACTTTTTGTATTTTCTGTTTTGAACACATTACTTTTATCTTCAGAACAAATGTTAATTTTGAAATTATTTATAGTGCAATGTTGTTTGGGGGAAGTTTATAAAATTAGATGGATAGATTGAGATTACAATTATTTCAAAGCAAAGCTATATGTATAGAGAGGGTTGTAGAGAAATGTATCAAAATAGTTGCAGTGGTTGCTTCACTGTGATGGGATTATGGGCCCCCTCCCTTTTCTCTGTTTATCTTTCATAACTTAAAAAATAGACAAACTGAGGGGGCATCATTTCATTGAACTGACCAGATTAATGTGCTAATAAATGAAGCCCCGTGTGGTGCAGACCCTGTGCTGGGTGCAGTCCGTGAGCTCCCGTAGGTGTTAATAGGAAGTAGCTGGGGTGGGACAGCAGAAGGGGCTAGGGCTGGGGTGTTCCTTTCAGTCTTGATCAGCCCGGACATCCTCTGACGCCTCAGTCTAGGAGGAGGGTAGAGAGCACAAGTGACTGGTAATAATTAATGAGTAGAGCAGCTAAATAAATCATTAGAGTCTTATGTGGCAGCAGCACACCAAAGACAGGGCAGTTCAGTGAGCATTACAGGAGCTCCCTCGCTCACCGCGCTGTCTCCCTGTCCCTTGAGGCGGGGCTAGGTGGGGGGACAGCTGTGGTATTTATGTGTAGATCCCACCGTGGTCTCTTTGTTAGGGTAGAGAGAAGCCTGCTTTCCAGAAAGCTGTGCAGATATTAAAATGGGGAGGGTCTTGGAGCGAATGCCTCGGGCCAGCTATCTTAATTAGGAAGAGTCCAAGACAAAGGGGTCCGCATTTCAGTGTGCCCCAGAAGTAGGCATTTCATAGAGAGGCCTTGCCGTGTATGAATGACGGAAGTCTGCCGTGGTCCTCCTGTTTAGCACCCCGCCTGGGCATCATTTGTGTATGAGACGGAGGAGTGTGTCCTGAACTCGAAAAACTTCTGGGGAAGACATGACCTGCGCTAACCTTTGTTCCCCGTTATTCTGGGATGCTCTTAGCAGATAGATAACGACACAGAAGCGGCTCCTGTGTCAGCCCAGTGAGAGATGGGAGGACCGGGGGGTTCAGGGCATCTGTCTCCTCTGGGTGGGAGGCATCGAAGCCTCTTGTGCTGACTCCGTTCTCATTCCTCAAGGCCTGTCACTGTCACCTCTTCTGTGCAGCCCTCCCCAGACCAGAGCCGCTTCGGAACCACCTCACCTTCCTCTCCGCTTCTGGCGCTCTCCATGGCCCACAGCCTTGGGCTCAGAGTGTTGGTGTGTTCTCTGCACCCCTCATTCAGGCCAGACGCCGGGTCTTATCCACCAGTGTGTCCCTCCAGGGCCAGCACAAAGCAGTGGCTCAATTTGTTGAAATACATTGATTTTTTCACTTACAACTCGATAGAAGTTGTACCCCAAGTATTCAGGTCCTTCCCGGTGGGAAAGTATAGACCAGTGGTTCCCAACCTGTTTTGGCCAGGCCCCACCTAGGCATCTGTAAAATCCTGATGCCCTCCCGCCCCCGCCCCCGGGACATATAATTCTTATTATTCAAAAAGTAAACTCCTGTTCACGTGCAGGAAGCCTAAAAGGCCATTAACTTGGTCTAAACAAGCTTCCAAAGTACATGGTCTCCATGAAAGAGAAAAATAAAAGAACAAAAGGACAATTGAAGTATTGAGGAGGAAATCACTAAGAAATTATTAAATAATAATATGAAATTATATGAAAAAATAGCAAAGTTTTAAGACATAATAGAGAACTGAAATGCGTAAATATGTCACAATATATATCTATATACTGTATATGAGGCCCCTAGAACCATAAGAAATGCAAAAAATTCACTATTAATAACTCATTCTCTAATTGCCCTTCTTAAAAGTCAAATTGCCCCCTGTGGGGCGTGTGCCCCAATGATGGATAAAACCAGGATTCTGGCCTCAATGAGTGGGAGCCACTGATCTAGACCCAGGGAAGAAGGGATGGAGAGCCAGGCAAGATGAGAATAGAATATCGCAGTGTGCTGTTGTGTTATTTATGTAGCAGCCTCTAAAGGGGGTTGGGGACTTCCTTCCCTCGCAGAGTCATTGTGGTTGGAGAGAGACAAAGAATTTATTTCATTCATCCATCCATGAATAATGAATGATCTGCCACCAGGGGCACTTCTGGACCAAAACACACTGTTTATTTGTCAAGGGACGGCTCGCAAGCAGCATGTTGGCCTCCGTGAGCACATGGGGCAGAAGAAAGCGAGGCTGCTCAACCCAGCCATGCAAGGACACGCATGCAGTACAACTCAGAGGAACGTTAGGATGAAAAGCAACATCCTGCAGCGGTAGAAAATAAGGGGATATGATTCAGAGAGCGTTGGAATGTTTCCCTCTTAAATGCGACAGAGACTGGCCTGGACAGTCTTTCTCTGGCTCTGAGATTTGCTCGTGTGCCTGAGCAGTGACGTGCCTGGAAGTGAGGCGCCCATTCGGAGGAGGCCTTCGTTTTTCGTTTTATTTCGTATGAGGCTTGTTTCTCCTCAACTCCGGAGCTGACCTCTGCTTTGAGCTGCTTGTTTGCATGGGCCTGCGACCTTGCGTATCATGCAACCAAATCAGTTGTTTGTTTTGCTTCTCTTGAGACCGTTTCTAAATATATATGTATTCTTGTTTTTGTGTTTTAAATAGGAAAACTCCACCGATGACAACCGGCCCCTGGTCCATCAGCTTTCTAATGAGAGCCGGCTCTCCATCACTGACTCCCTGTCAGAGTTCTTCGATGCCCAGGAAGTCCTGTTATCGCCCAGCTCTTCAGAAAATGAGGTTTGACCATTGTGTTCAGTCATGTGCCTCCGAGTCTCTCCTGTTGCTGTACCCATCCCGTAAATACTCATATTTAGAAACACTAAACTCAGTTGCTCCTTTCTACCATTATATCCTGGGATCTTGTTATAACTCCTACCCCAAATTGCACAAAAGGCTACAAGACCTTAGAGTAAAAAGTTGTGAAAGTAGGTGTTGGGCATCCTTATTTCTGATACTTGATTTGCTATCCCTCTTTTCAATGACAGGCTAACAATTTTGACTATTAGTGGTTTGATATGTAATATTTCTACCTACAGTGCCAGAAATTAGCATCATGGATATTTTTTAATCATTGAATTCAGCCTGTATTAATTTACAACATATAATTATTACATTATCATAATGTTGTAATATGGTCATTATAATACTTTATAATATATAACAATATTTTTTATTTTTAATAATATTATTTTAAATTGATGCATAAAATTCATACTTTCCTGAGGAGGCAAGTGTCATAGTTGGCCTTGCTGTGTATAATGTGTATTGGTAATTTTTTCCCTTTAGAAGTACTCATCTTGCTTATTAATTTCTATAGAAGATTATTTTTTTCACAAATAGTTCAAAGACAAATTATAACTCATTCTACCCAAACACTAACACATTCTGAAAATGCAGCCTGCGTTAATAAGAATTTTAATAACAACTAAAACCTTGATTTACTTGTGTTTTCTTGTGAGAAGGAAAGTGCGAGGGTTTTAATAACAGCTGTTTCCTGTGAATGACCCTAGGCAGGCAGGCGAGTGGCCCCAGTAAAAACAGCATCCAGAACTATTTCTCTAGGTTCGCAGAGTGGGATTGAAAATGTTTGCTGATCTTGAGTACAGGTTCTATGAAAACCTGGCTTGTTTACTCTCAGTCTAAGGTATATTATTTCTTCTTTCCCATAGGGTTCTGAGGACGATTCATATGTCAGTGACATAAGTGATAACCTTTCCTTGGACAATCTCAGTAATGACTTAGACAATGAGAGACAAACCTTGGGTAAGACTTAAATTATTTGATCTCTGAAAGTCTGGATCTTCATGGAATACTAATAAACATATAAAGAGAACCTGTTGCAGGCCAAGAACTGTAACAAGAACTATATAAGAAAATTCAGATATGGTCCCTCTCAAGGTTTTATAACCCAGGTGGGAAGACAGTACTCACTCACATGAGAAAAATGTTTTCATTCAAATAAATCTGCCTACTTGTGTAAATTTCTATTTTCTAAAGTGAGGGTATACCAGTTATATAAATATCAAAGATTAGTGCAACCCTTATTGGTCAAACATTCTCTCTGCAGACATATTAGAATATAACTTTTTACCTTTAGGTATCTAGTGGTTTTCATAATTTAGGAATTCTACGGGGCTTATGATTTGTCAGAAATTAAAATCGAATGATGACAAGCCCGAGCGAGCCTCAGGAGGTGTGGCTCACAGATGGGAATTCAATGCCGCCTTCTTGAGGAGCCAGCCCTCTGCTCATATGAATCCAAAAATGTTCATAGTTTATGGCATAGTAATTCTATTTCCTATGAAAATAATCAGAGATAATCAAATACTAGGAATATGAACATTCACTACTTGTTTGCATCATAGCAAAACATTGAAATAAATCCAAATCCAACAGTAGATGAATGATTCAGTCAATTGTGGCATATCCATAGAATGGAACTTTTTACAGTCATTATAGATGATGTTCTAGAAGAACTCTGAATAGCATGCAAAAATAACATGTTAACTGAATAAGCAGAACAGAAAACTAGGCATACAGTGTGAGGTATATGGGTGAGAAAGCACTGAATGAAAATACTCCAAAATTTAGGTGGCTACTGTATCTGGGTAGTGGGATAATGGATGACTTCTATCTTTTTTCATTATTATCCTGTAATAAACACAGTTGCTTTTGTCAGGATTTAAAGTGATTTTTAAGAGTTTAAGAGCTTTTGCCAGAATTTGAAGTGCTCTTTAAAAAGAGGTTAAAGAGTTAAAAGTGTAAACAGTGGCCTGCTGTGGACATAAATCTCAGTGTCCAGTTTCGTTGTGTCTATAGAGCTGCGAAGAACCGGCTTTCGATTAGGGATTTGGCGACCTGCCTGCTGATGAAGTCCGTGAATGTTAGTGCATGTAATTTTTGGTACTTAATTTAGTTGTGCAAAATTTCTATCGTATGACTTTCAGTCATATTCTGAATAACTGAGATTAATAGTAAAATTGAGTACTTTTTAGGTAAGGTTTCACTCATGGATTTTTTTTAAAAAAAATAATAAAGTGAAAAGACTTGTAGAGACAACCAGGCTTATTTCCCTTTCAGGGTCCGTTCCTGAAAGCGGTGGGGAAGCCAAGTGCAGGAGGAGGACGTGCCTGCCGGCGCCCTGCCCCAACAGCAGCAGCGTCAGCCTGTGGAACATCCTGAGGAATAACATCGGGAAGGACCTGTCCAAAGTGGCCATGCCCGTGGAGCTGAACGAGCCGCTGAACACGCTGCAGAGGCTCTGCGAGGAGCTGGAGTACAGCGAGCTGCTGGACAAGGCCGCGCGCATCCCCAGCGCCCTGGAGAGGATGGTGAGGGCTCGGCCCCTGCACCCCAGCGCCGGGGCCACCAGGCCATCCACGCCGGCCAGCAGGACGGGCAGCCCGAGCGCCAGCCCCCTGGGGTTCCTGGGCATTGTTCCTGTGATGGGCTCCTTTCTCAGGGTCCTCTGGCTCCCCTGTGCTCAGCTGGTCTCATTCACACTGGCAGGACTTGCCATTTGGCAGGGAGGTGGGGAGAGCTTCCTTGTGACAGCTGGTGTGGGGGGGGGGGGGGGTGTAGTTTTGCTCTGTGGCTTTGCGCTTCCTCTTTCTCCAGAACTTTCCATGTGATGGTTCTGATAAGCCTGGCTGGAAAGCCTGCCCTGAGGGCTGTCTGGGCATTTATTTTTACTATCCCAGGTGGATAGAATTTAATCTCTCAAGCTGTTTTTCTCGTTGAGGGTAAATTTCCCTTGAGAATGATTTTGTTTATTTTTGGAATATTTCCACAGCTATTTCCTAGATTTTCAGAAAATAACACTCTCAGAAGAGATTTTCACATAAGGAAGGTTCTTTTTGTGTTTTCTTCCCCCTCCTCCTTAGTCTATAGAATTGTTACTGTGTGTTTTTTGAAGCTCATCCTAGAGAAAGTCACCTTGTTTGTCTACTCAGCTTCCACTGAGGGGCTCCCGAGTGTTCCGCATCGGTCCCCGTTTGGGGAACTCCATGGTGGTGAGACTGCGGACAGCTCAGCCCTCTCCGTGACTGTGGCTGACTTTGTTCTCCAAAGAGCTCTCTTCTTTTTGCTTCCTCACATGTTACCTGCTCAGCGGGGAGGTCACTGTGTGGGAGGCTGGGACTCCAGTGTGTCCCCCCAGTGCAGAGTCTCTGCCCCAGGCATTTGCTGAGTGGCTGACTTGGAGTTGGCACGCCCCCTTGGGTTCAGGTCATAAAGCCACCTTCCAGCTGAGAGAGCTGAATTCTTTCCTAAATTCTAAGCATTCTGCAGCTTTCCTCCTAATCAAAACGTCATTACTTTAGTGATTTGAAGATTAAAGGGAACTCTAGCCAGTGGGTGAAAAGAGACATCCCCAGGCATTCCACACAGCCTCCAGGGACTTCTCCTTCAAGGAGGCTTTCTTGTTACCACAGATAATAAGAGTAGGAGAGAAAAACACACTGTGTGTCTTTTCGATCTTTGTTACTCTTCCCCAGAGAATTTCTGCTGAACAAAGGGAAGCAAATAGCTTCTAAGGCAAGTGTTAAAAGTCAGCAGTTTGTGGACAGCTCTTTTCTGTGAAGGAAAAGTTTGGCTTTGAAGATGAAAGTATTCTTAAAGGTGCTTCATTCTTGCCACAATTAAGAAACCCTTAGGATGTTCAGCTGACTGATTGGTGTAATTGACCCTGAAAAGAAGTTTGAGCAAAGGATTTGCATTCCGGCACCAAGTGCAGGAGGGGAAATCCAGGAAAGCTGGGAGCCGGAACCTTCTCCTGGCTTGTGCTCACTGCTCTGTGGGTCAGCTTGGGCCCTGCATAGATCTCTCTGCTGTCCAGCCAAAAAGGAGGATGCTTGCTTGTGCCTGCTCCCTCCCCTGTCTCCCTCAGCATTATGAGTGACTCCAGGTTCATGTGTGCATTTTGTTCTAGTTTAAATTGGGAAGGCGACTCAGGGTTGGCTCAGCGTTCAGTATGGAGACTGTGACCTTGCTGTTGAACAGGAAACGGGCATTGAGGAAGCAGAGAGAGGAACAGTTACCCAGGTTTCAAGAACAAAGGCTGAATGGAGCATAGTGATCCGTGTTTATAAACCACCCAGCCGCTCTAGGGTGCTATCTAGCGTGAGGGGGAAGGTGGCACCTATCGATGAATGGCTGAGGAAAGGTGTGAGTCCAGTGAACACTGATGAAGGGCACTCAGCTTTTCTTCCCAGAGAAGCAGCTTCGTGACAGGTGCTGGGAAGAAGAAACGTGGAGATGGTTGCTCAGTATTAGAAAGCAGAAGCTGCTCTTGCCACTTAAGTTTAATTTTTTTGCTGCCCGCCCCCCCCACACCTTCCCCAGAAAGACTAAAAAAGAATGTGTGTTTTGGGGATCCTGGAAGGGAAACCGATAAAAATGCCGAGGGCCTCACAGTGGGGGCCATGCAGGGATCTGGTTTCCTGGTGGTCACCTGTAGTTTTCCTTCCCGTTCCTGTGTGAGTTCCCCTTTGTCCTCCCCGAGAAGCAGAACTTTCGCAAAGGCAGGCACCGTGCTCTGTCCCGGGGCTTGCTGCTCGGGCTCAGGCAATGACTCGCACAGACGTTCTTTTGTCAAAACGAGTTTTGCTCTTTCTACAGCATCAGATTGCGAATGGTTAAACTTAGGTTGCGAATTTCTGAAATTTGAGGGAAGTTTGGCTTTTTATGCTTTTCTTCCTCCTTCTCCCCCCAAACCTAAGCAAGACATCAGGAGTCTCGGGTGTTGTCAGGTCCGGAGGTGCTGGGCCGGGCTGAACAGCTCAGAACAGGGCAGTTCACGTGGCACAGAGCAGCATGTCGAAAGCCTCTGCCACCGGGGAGGCATCAGAACAAATGGGCGGTTTGAACATGTTTGGTTCATTTGTCTCTGAGGCCACAGCGAACATTACTGAAACCTGCAACTTTAAACCAAAGTTGGGCCCCAGGTCATGGGTTTGGTTCCCGGTCAGGGTGCATGAGAAAGGCAACCAGTGGATGCTTCTCTCTCACATTAATATCTGTCTGTGTCTCCCCCGCCCCTCCTAATCCTCCCTCTCTAAAAAAGGGGGGGGGTTAATTAAAAATAAATAGATAAAACTAAAATAAAATAAAAATTAAACCAAAAGTGGTTTGGTTGTCTTTAAAGCAGAGGTAAATCTTTGGCTTCTGAAAAAACCTTAAAGAGAGAAAGAAAGCCTTTATCTTGCTCATATCTTGGTAAAAATAAATGTCTTGGTTACAGAATAATAATGACACTCTCTCCTCCTTCCCCGCAGGTGTACGTGGCCGCCTTTGCCGTGTCGGCATACGCGTCCAGCTACTACCGTGCTGGGAGCAAGCCCTTCAATCCGGTTCTTGGAGAAACATACGAGTGTATTCGTGAGGACAAGGGCTTCCGGTATTTTTCAGAACAGGTGGGTATACACCTTCTTGTTTGTTGTGTCCACCCTTTAGTGTTGTGTCCACCCTTTAGCATTGTATCCACCACTTGTAGTGGAGGAGTCGCTTCTACCTCCCATGACATGTGCTTTTGAAATACTTGTGTTCCACCTTTCACTAGCTTCAAAGCAACTCAGATGATTATAGGGCTTTTACACATGAAGAGAGGGATCGAGTTCCCCTCCACAGAAAGCTAGCCACCACCCCTGGGCATGAAGGTCCTAGCACTGCTGAGCTCTCTGGCTTGGCCACACGTATCAGCCGTGCCTTTCTGTTCCAACTCACAGGGAGAGGACATTTCTAAGTAAGAAGCATTTGCCCAAACTGCCATTTAGGTTTAAAGGGTGCACCCTCAGCTCGTTGACACCATCATTTTAGAGCAGGATGGGTAGCACCAAATAAACGCATTATTCTTGATTTTAAGAATAATCATTCATTCATGTATTTATTCACTCGGTCCATACATATGTGTCGAGCATATACCACGTGCCTGGCATTGCCCCGGTGCTGGGAGAGCGCACGGGGCGGGGGCTGCGGGGCCTGTCCTCAGCGAGGGTGGGCATACCGCATACCTGTGCAGCCGAGGTCCCTGATTCCACATGACTCCTCCCCGCTCAGGAGTAGCAGAGAACGACACTCAAGGACAGCATCTCCGGAGCCAGACGGCATAGGTTCCTTTCAGCTCCACCTCTTACTAGGCTTGTCACCAGGTCGGCCGCTTCCCTCTGTGCTGCAGTTTGGAGTGGGAGTGATGGTCACGGACGGGCCTCAGGTGGCTTTGCCAGGGTTGACGAGGTTCTCTCTACGAGGCTCTGAGGCCGTGAAGTAAAGAGTGTGGTGTGAGTGTGCTCTCCTTGCTCATGCTGGACGGCATGGTTCGCATTAGTGTAAGGTTGGCAGCAGCCAGATACATCAGTGAGGAATTGTTTACCTAAAACAGGGTGCAAAGGTACTGAAAATAAAGATAAAAACAATCCCCTCCACCCCAGTTAAAGCAGCAGCCAAACATGCCCACCCTCCGTGTACCCTAAATGTCACCTGGGAACATTAAACATGATTGCTTTGATACATTTCTCTCCTCCCCATTCTTAGAAAGCTGAGGGGAAATGAAGGGGCGGGGGGGGGGGGGGGTGCTAAAAAATTATTTCCCTTCCTGAAACCCTGGTGCCCTCTTTATCAAAGGAAGGGCATTATGGGGTAAGAAAGGAAAGGGGGTGTGGCTGAAAGGGTTATGGAAACGGTGCTTGGCTTAACTGCACATTGGAAGCAGCATTCTCTGAAACTCAAAGGAAAATGGAAACAAGAATATCCCAAAACGCATTTTCAGTAACCTTTCAGTTAGAACCCGAAAAGAGAAAATAAACCCTGGGATCCGGGAAGTAAGGGGTTAAATCATTACATTAAAAGGATATGAATATCCGATTCAAAATCCAGTGGGTTATTTTAATACTGAAACTTAAATGGAAAGAAAATAATGGAAATGTAATTGGGTTTCCTGGTATTATATGCCTCATGGTAAAAAAAAAAAGGTCCGAAAACCCCAATCTCCGCCGACATTCGGACTGGATACTTTGTTTAGGACACATAGTAAGGGAG